CGATAGACCTGACTCTCCTGGCCTTCTTCCCCCAGAAAAATGCAGGGGAAGCTTCAGTTATTGACAAAACTTTCTACCAGCGCACGAAGCCTTTGAACCCTTCTGGATCAAAAAAACCCAGTGGGGTGTCTGTTCCCTCTCCCCTCCCTGTACCAGCAGGGGAGAAAAAAATGTTATAGATAGCCAATTTAGGGAAACAACTGAATAGATGGAGGGTTCAAGCTAATAAAAACGAATTCCAAACAGACCAGGGACAGGGTAGGACAAGGAAAGTGGTGTGCGACCTCACTCCCCCAGAAACCTGGGACACCTGCAGCCTTAATCTGCTGCTGCATCAGCAAAGTAATAGGCAGGAAAAGGTGAGAAAATAAAGGCCTTGGGGTTTATGTTCACTTACGTTGTTTCAGAGCTGGGCTTGATGTTTCTGGGAGGCAGGCTGGGAGCTGCTGGGGCCTGCAGGGACGGGTGAGAGGCTGGTGGAGGAGGTGGAAAAAGTGGAGGTACAGGTGGAGGGAGTGCTGCTGAGGGAGGTGCTATCTGTTTCAAACCATCAGTTTTAAGGCCTGAAAAAAAGCAGAACAGACTGAGTTTATCAAGCAAACAGACAAGGAAGGAACCTCGCTGTTTACATGAAATGTTAGGATAAAATATCAGTACTGCACACACTCCAGAGCAAATATATTTTGCTGAACCTGCTTCTCAGATATATTTGGTGCCTTATCTTACCAGAGTAGAGAGGCTCCACATAGAAGAACATGCTACCTATAGAAGGCCTTGAAAACGGCTTTGCCAAGACATGAGCAGGACACAAAACCATCAGTTCATCCACTATATAAGCTCTTCTGCTTTAAAACTAAATTATCATTTAATTCTAAAATTTGCTTGAAAAGACCAGCTGCAGAGTTTCACATGAACACTGATGCAGTCTTGCTGGAGTTTTCCTTGTTCAGACACAGAGTTTCAAGGGAAGGGATGAGAGATGAAAAGATGTCTTGGCATTGATTAAGAGGTGTATAGCTCTCTGTACATCCTCAAATACATTTGTAACGTAAGTTTTAAAAGTCTGGACTTAATTTTCTAGCAAGCCCATACTAGAAGAGTGGCAGTTTGAGAAGCTGCACAGAAGCTACACCCTCAACAAACAGCTACAGCCTTAAGAACAAGATGATACAGTGCACCAGGTACAGAAGCCATAGTTACATGTGTGGGCTGGTGTGCATGTGTGCTGCACAGGATTCATGCTCAGTGTACAAGCCACAACCAAACCATAGTAACCATTGCTTTGAGAGTTCATATTGAGAGAAGTTATTCAACACAACTAAATGAAATCACTGTTTGGATGACATGATGTTAAACCTAGAATTTTGCTTCAAGTGTCAAGTGGATTAAAAGCTACCCAGAAAGATTGGTCCCCAGGTATGTGGAGGGAAGTCCAACAAAATCTAAGAAAGAGGAGAGTAGAAGGATAGAGCAAATTCACAGTTCAGTTAAAAACAATTACAATCAAAAAATAAACTCTTGTCTCCTGGAGATTTTCTTCTACTAGTCCACACCTGTATAGTGGGGATTAAAATCTTGTCAAGAAAAAGAAACTTTCACCATGTTGGGGAAAAAAGTGGCTTAAATACAGAACAAGGACAAATATTTAGTAATGCTTAATAACGAGACTGCAAGTTATGAAAACTATTGAAAGAGCTTTCTTTAGCTGCTTGGGAGTCTGAAATTCTGTCTTTTGGATAGACAAGAGAAGGGGCGTTGATAACTATGAGAAGGAGCTCTCATATGTCACACAGAAATCAAAGTGAAATTACCAAGCCTTGACAGTTTTTCTGCTTACTAACAAAGAACTCAAAAATTTCTGGATAAATTTGGCTTCATGGCTGCTTGGAGCAACTTGTCAACATACGTGTCAACAACAGTGCATTTGAAACCCATTAAGTTCCTCCATTACTTAAACAGCAAAATACTAAAAGTCCCAACACTGCTGATTACACAGGTGAATTCTCTGGTGTTTTTGTTAAGTAACATTCATCTTGCAAAAGCAGAGCATTACAATTTAAGATATGCCAAGATTAAGTTGTGTGGTATCACATATCTTTTTGTTCACATATCTTTTTGTCATTTTATTCAAAAGTATAACCCAAAAGTGAAATAATCCTTTCACTTAGTACTGAGGAGGCTACAGCAGGGCTAATGTGTGCCAGCTGGAGAGAGCCCAAAGGAGAAGAGTGAGAATGATTAGAGGTCTAGAAAACATGAGTAATATTGATTATTATTGAGATATTGAACAAATGGTGGTTGCTTAGGAAAATGTGATAAGACTGAGGGTGAACAAAATGAATACCTCTCTGGCAAAGAAGAAAGGGGTAATTTTTTTTTATTTCATTTCCATAGTGGAGAAGACAAGAAGTAATGTGTTTAAAGGCCAGCAACAATTGTTAGGAGACGCTTTCTAATAGTGAAGGTGGAATTTCCATGGTGTGAGGTCCATGTTGAAGAAGTAGGATAAACTTATGGCATGAATAAATTCTAGTACAGTTGTTCTTGCCCTACACATAGGGATCAACCAAATAACTTCTTTACATCCCTTCCAATTCAATAATGACATCCTCTGTTTGTTGTCCTACATTTTACAAGACATCACATTTAAAATACTCGCCCCTATATTGAGCCCAACAGCTAGAGATCTACTAAAATACCATTTTGGCTAAAACTTGTCTTCTAGAAAGATGTCCCACTTGTTTGAAGATGAGAGAAAGAATGTACCGCTACAAAGTCTGTTTGGTTAAGTTTGCTCACTGTTAAAATCTGCATCTTTTTATTTTCTGAGGTCATCAGGCTTCAGGTTCTATTACTTTTATTTCTACCTTTGATTATTGGATCAAAAGCCTTTTTATAACCACTATTTTTCTACTCATAAGGTATTGATACCACTGAACTTAACCAGTATTTCAGATTTCTTTTTGATAACTTTAAAGACCCACCCTTTTAAATCTCATCCCAGGGCATTTTTTTTTTTTTTCCATCTAGCAATTAATTTGTAGCTATTTCTGTAATCTCTCCAATTTTTCCAGCATTGTAAAAGATCTGGCACTGGAATTCTACACAGCATACACTTGTCTGCCACATGCAGTGATGAAAATTACAAGTTGTTCTTCATCTGGCCATGTCTCTACTGATTGCATGCACGGGGTTTCAGTATTTTCTGTGACTGTCATCCCTCCTCCTGTTTTGGAAGTGCAGACACCTGAGTATAAAACTAAGGCCCATTAGCAAAAAGCTTTTATTCAAAAAATTTATGAAGATTCCTTAAGGGTAAAACTCCCAAGAATTTAGGGTTACAGGCTGACAACCATTATGCATTAGGCTTTTCTGTCACATCGTTGTCCTTACTCAACTGTAGAGCTGTTTATGATGTCTAGATTTTTTCCCAAGGCATTATACTACCTCGTTTTGCAGGTATGGTTTAAATTTGTTCATTCTGTATTTGCATTTGAGTAAAGACAATCTTTGTTTAAATAAGCCAAGATTACACATGATTGTGCTCTTGTTGTATCTGACTCTCTGAGGACTGTGTGTTCGCATTTAACTCTTCACAGTCTTTATTCATCAGCAGACTTTGTCAGCTATAATCTCTTATTGTTCTAAAATCCCTGATAAAGATGAATAGCACTGACAATCCAAGCATGTATCAGCAGTTGAATTCTTTTAGGCAGATTCTAACCAAATAAGACAGAAAGGTCTGGGTTTGTTTTTTTTTTTTAATAAATGCCATGTTAATTGGTTTTAATTATACTCTCAAATTTTTGTGTTTTAACAGGGAATCCTATATCAGTTTTTCTGTGGTTATATTTATGTTGCCCTTATACAGTGTTGTGTATATGCAGAACATGCATACATGCATTGTAATCATACAGCATTACTTCATTGTGATTAGTTTGCAGGACTAACGTAAAAATTCTGCTCAAGTCTCTGTTCATAATACTTCTTTCATCTGATGTCTCTCGAGAACCAAATCCAGGCAATAGGAAACTGAGCCAGGAAAGGACACCACATGCATCTTAGATTAAGTGCTTATTTTTAAGTATAAGGGCTAAACAACTTCTCCCTTTTAATTTATGTACATTGCTGGAATCTAACAATAACTAACTGATCATCATATTAATGGAAACACTGCTTTTTTGTTTTCTAACTATTCGAACTGACTCTTCTCTGTCTTTAGAGTTGTAAATACCTACACTTACACTGACTGAGACTGGTGTGGGTGTAAACTGCTTTAGTTTCAATACTGAAAATAATGGCATGAGTTAGGTAGGAAGGTGACATTCAGTATGAAAAAGCTGTTATAATCAGGCCCGCAGAGCCAAAGCTATTGTAATGCTTCAGTAGTGTTTTGTTTCCTATTTTAATCGAGCATTTCATTTTGACTCCAGTTCCATCTTTGTGTCTCTGAGACACTTGGTACTCTGAAGACATGGAAAGGCTCTGTGCTGGTAGTGGAACTGAAGTCAGCCCCAGACACTCAGAACAAAAAATCAAATTGAAACTACATCCTGGCTTCACATGTACCCAAAGCACTCTTATCACAAGAAACAGTATTAAGGGCCATCACTCTGTGGTAGCTTTGACCACTATCGCCTCAGTTTCCAAATAGCCTCTTATCTTTTTTTTGGGACTCTCAGCTTTTTCACACGCTCTACTGCACTGAAGAAACAGATGCAGAAACTGAAGCTCTTCACAAAGAAATGAAAGAACAGATGAAAAGGAATGAGTTCCTCAAAACCTGAGCAGCTGTATAGCAGCTAAGAGAAACTTGCCATAGAAACTGTCCATAGAAAGTACCAAATACCCCATTACGCTGCAGCTTATGATATTAAACTTCTTTAATCGTGCTCAGAGCTTCAGCACTTACAGCAGAACTGCACACAGAACACTGCAAACACTTCTCTTGTGTTCTTGGGGAACCTTCTCAAACAACTTCCATACATGCAGTGACCAAAAGGTCACCTACATTCTTGGAGAATGTTTATTTATCAGGAAGTTCAGGACACTGAGGTTGCCTTGATGTAAAACTTGTGACTTTGACCCTTGCCATTCATAGTTTGTGAATACCTCTTTGGTAGCTAACATAACATCTAGAGAAAGATCCCATCTTCCCTTCATGTCCAGGTATTCTGTGTTCAATAACCTCAGGAGAAATCAACCTGCGTGTAACAATACCCTATAATTTCCATGTCTCTCCTGTGTGAACTCAAAGAGAAACTAGTAAAAAACCCAAAACAAGTCCAGCTTTTTGGAATCTGTGTACTCTATGTAGTGAAAAGCAAGTTTCAGGGCAGGGTGAGAAAAAGATATCTGTTCTCACCTTGCTAAAATCTTCAGTGCTGTCCTGAGATGCTGTCTTACTCTGTCCTGAAATTCTAATACCAGAAATATGTGACAAACTGAAGGGAAATCCCAGCAGTGCCTGGAGTCCTTATTGGAGTAACACATACAACAAGCAGTACTTGGTGGGATAGGAATCTTATGGGAACCAGTACTTTGGCCAAGGCTAGTTGTCCCC